TTTTTGAATAAATTTCAATATCTTATTTTACCCCGATTCAATATTGGTCAATATACAGCAATCCCACATGAACTGGGGATAGAAGCCTGCAAACGTTTGTTGTGTCATTCAAAAAGTTATGATTCTTTGAAGATTTCCTTCCTATTGCAACGGTTAACAGTTGTTTTGGAGGATAATTTATTTTTATTTAGGGAGAATTATTATTTACAGCTCATCAGGGCAGCAATGGGTTCGAATGTCGCTCCTCTATATGCGAATGCGTTTATGGATATGGTAGAGAATTCGTTTATATATCATTGTGATTATTTTACAAGACATTGTTTATGTTACAGTTAGCCTGGCTGAAAAAAAAGACAAAAAGTCCATCCAGTTCAACTATAGGAAAAAAAAAAAAAAAAAAAAAAAAAAAGTTATAATCCTATACTCTCAGTTGATCCGGCGAAAAAACCAAAGCATGATTCAATTTGCTACTGCTGGGAAAAAAAATCCTTCCTGATCCCCCGAGAGGCAATCGGATATTCCCTGGATCAACTTTACCTATAAAATGTTAATATCCAGTTATATTCTGTGTAACTAATAAAGAATCCCAGGCATTTTTTGAAGCCATCCACTGAGCTGGCCAGAACCAACTCTTGAGGGAGTCTATTCCACATTTTCACAGCTCTCACTGTGAAGAAACCTTTCCGTGTTTGGAGATTAAATTTGTTTTCCTCCAGACGTAAAGAGTGCCCCATTGTCCTCTGTGTTGACCTCAGGGTGAATAGCTCTACACCGAGTTCACTATATGAACCACTGATGTATTTATACATGTTGATCATATCCCCCCTTAATCTCCTCTTCGCATGAGAGAACTGGAGAAACTACAGAGAAGGGCAACCAAATTGGGGAACTGGAGAAAGTACAGAGAAGGGCAACCAAACTGGTAAGAGGCATGGGAGGAGCTCAGCTATGAGGGAAAGATTAGAGGAACTGAATTTATTATCTTGAGAAGAGGAGATTAAGGGGGGATATGATCAACATGTATAAATACAACAGTGGTTCATATATCAAAAAGAACATTGGGGAACTGGAGAAAGTACAGAGAAGGGCAACCAATGTTTTTGTGAATTGGTGCCCAAAACTGAACTGCATATTCCAGATGAGGTTTTACTAATGATTTGTACAGGGGTAAAATGATCTCTCTCTCTCTGGAGTCTATACCTCTTAATACAAGAGGACTGTGCTCGCTTTAGAACCGCAGCTTGGCATTGCATGCCATTATTAAGCTTGTGATCTACCAGAACTCCCAGATCCTTCTCCACCATTGATTCTCCCAGTTGTACTCCCCCTACTATGTATGATGCATATTCTTAGCCCCCCAAGTGCATAACCTTACCGTCCTGAAAGGACGTTATTCCACTGCACAGCTTGGTGTCATCTGCAAAGACTGAAATAGGATTTTTAATCTCAGACCCCATATCATTTATAAATATATTAAAAAGTGTCCCAACACTGAACCTTGGGGTACACCACTGACAACCCTAGACCATTCAAAGTATGAATCATTAACCACTACTCTTAGAAAACTAGCTAAAAGATCGTATTCAATCCATTTACATACGGATTTTTCCAAGCCCGTATACTTTACCTTACACATTAGCTGTGTGTGGGGAACTGTGTCAAACACTTTTGCAAAATCCAAGTATACCACGTCCACCGCCACCCCTTTGTCCAAGGTTTTGCTCACCCCCTCATAAAAAGAAATCAGATTTGTTTGACAACTTCTGTCTTTCATGAATCCATGCTGTCTGTTGCTTAAAATATTTTTTTCCAGCAAGAACTCATCTATGTGGTCTTTCATTAAACTCTCCGGTATCTTAACTACAGAAACTAACAGGTCTATAATTACTTGGTAAAGATTTTGACCCCTTTTTAAATATTGGCCTTACGCCAATCCAGTGGTACTATGCCAGTCATTTCAAAGCCATTGTTTCTAATTTTTAGGGACTTTAACGACAGAGCTCAATTCTTTAAGGATCCGTGGGTGTATGCCATCCAGTCCAGGTGCTTTATTCACCTTTATACTGTCTAAATATTTTTGGATCATATCAATTGTGAGCCAATGTGGATCATCTGGAGCGGTCAATACCATGCATATTATGGACAAGAGCTCCCCCATGCTCCTTTGTATACACAGAGCTGAAGAAGGTATTAATTAAATTTGCCTTCTCTTTGTCCCCAGTCACCCACTCTAGATTATTTTGTAAAGGGCCTACACACTCGGACCGGACCTTTTTACTTAAATTATATTTGAAGAATTTTTTGGGGTTGGTCCTGCTATCTTTTGCAATCTGTCGTTCAATTTTTGAGGCCTTTATTTCCTTTTTGCATATTCGTTTATATTCTTTTTAATGTTTAAACAATGATAGCGTTCCTTCATTTATATATTGAATAAAAGCGCTTTTCTTATTATCTATAGCTTTTTTAACTTTGGCTGTAAGCCACATAGGTTTGATTTTTAGTCTTTTAAACTTTTTGCCCATGGGAATATATTTTGCAGTGTGTTCACATACAGTCTTTTTGAAGAACTCCTATTTGTGTTGTGTTCATCAATAAAGCTGAAATAACATATTGGCATCGATGATGTCTTTACAGTATGGATGGGTGACTTAGAAACCTTATCCTTGTTTAATACTTATTAAACTTAAGTCCTGGTATTAAACAATTCAAATATGTCCATGAGCAAACGGAAATTTATTTTTTGGATACACTTTTGAGAACATGTAATGAGCATATTGTTAGCTATTTATACATCGTAACCAGTTGTGGTTTTCTAGTTTTCATATCTATACCCCGTAGCCAATTAACCAGTGTTTCTAGGATTGTCAGTGACTCACAGGTTAGGGAGATTAGACTCAACGAGATGGAAGACAGGCTCTGTGTACGGAGTTATCCCACTGACAGTTAAAAAAGAAAGGAATACTTTGTCTCGACAGAAAAATAGATGGTTTAATTCCTGCAGACTTCCTTTCAGCTCTCTGTTACATCCATACTCAAATCGGGTTTTAAATATAATTAAAAACATTGGTCAATTTTGAGTACTAATTATCCATCTATACCAGAATTTAATCTTCCCCCGTTACCTTCTTATTGCTGGGGAAGGACATTACATGATAGCTTAGTAAGATCAGATCAATATAATCCACCTTTACTTCCTTTAACCTTTTTAGGTCCTCATAACTTTGAACACAACTGAGGAACGTATTAGAGCCAATGTAACAATGATAAAGGGAAAATCTCTCATCCTCATTTAGGTTACAATATATCCATCAAGGAACACTATACCTGTCGGGCATTTTATCATATAAACCACAAATGATGACTATGTGGTTTGTTATATATTGACGAGACCACCCAAAAGGGTAAAAGGACAGAATAACTAGACAAATACTATATTAGAGACAAACTCACTAAGTTACCACTAGCGAGACATTTTGTAGAAAAGGGTCATACGGTTTCTCAACTTAGATTTATGGTCATTGATGGAATTCCTAGAAATAGATGTGGAGGTAACAGGGAATTGCAACTTAGAAAAAGGGAGGTTCAATGGATCCATCGTTAGGATACATTAACCCCAAAAGGGTTAAATTCAGATTTTGATCTGTATTTGTTTCTTTAAAATAATTATTTGTGGTTATGTTTTTATTTTTTGACTTTTGTATATACATGTGTGTGTGAGTATACATATATACACACACACACACACACACACACACACACACACACACAGGAAATATACACACACACACACACACACACACACACACACACACACACACACACAGAGGAAATATACACACACTTGGCACATGAAAAAAAAAATAATAAATATATATATATATATATATATATATATATATATATATATATTAAAATGACACTTTTCTACAATGTAAAGTAGTGATTGTACAATTTGTAGAACAGTGCAAATTTGCTGTCCCCTCAAAATAGCTCAACACAGCCATTAAGGTCTAAACCGATGGCAACAAAAGTGAGTACACCCCTAGGTGAAAATGTCCAAATCGGGCCCATTTGGCCATTTTCCTTCCCGGTGTCATGTGACTTGTTAGTTTTACAGGTTTCAGGTTTGAATGGGGAGCAGGTGTGTTAAATTTGGTGGTGTTATCGCTCTCACTCTCTCATACTGGTCTGGAAACTGAAGGTAAATGTGATGGACTGGCCAGGTCTCCAGACCTAAACCCTACTGAGCATCTGTGGGGCATCCTCAATGGAAGGAGAAGGAGCGCAAGCTCCGTGTCATCATGGAGCAGTGGAAGAGTACTCCGGTGGCAACCTGTGAAGCTCTGGTGAACTCCATGCCCAAGAAAATAAATGGTGGCCACACAAAATATTGACACTTTGGGAACAATTTGGATATTTTCACTTAGAGGTGTACTCACTTTTGTTGCCAGCGGTTTAGACATTAATGGCTGTGTGCTGAGTTATTTTGAGGGGACAGCAAATTTACACTGTTATATGAGCTGTACACTAACTACTTTTCATGTGACAACACTGAAGAAATGACCCTTTGCTACAATGTAAAGATAATATATTTACAAAAATGTGAGGGGTGTACTCGCTTCTGTGAGATACAACACAGCGGGCTTCTTTGACAAACATCAGCTGAGTGGCTTTGGCACTCTTGCAAATTTCGTTTAGCTAATCTGGAACAAGCTGTAGTTCGCTCAGTGTACGGCCAGCTTTACTTTCCTTTTTAATAAGTCTTTTTAGAACATGAGGAACAAGCTTCCATGGTTTTGTATTTAGGATAAAAGGAGGAACAGGAACAACCCTTTATTTAAGGAAATGGTGCTGCGCTACTTCAGGGTGAATGACCAAAACACAAATAAATAAGTGAACAGTGACATAAATCCAATAAAGTGAACAATCCACATACAAACATAACGAATGTTATATATGCAAGAACTATGAAAATCACACCCTCTTACCCATAGCTCTTATTAGCTGATACTAAAGAAAACTGATAGATTTTCTAACTTTACCTTTTTATACGCAATTTCAAATAGCTTTAATGATGCTTGCTGTAGAGATGATGAGGCTTGTTTTATGCTCTCTCCAGTTTCTTGGTCTTTCCTAGCCAAAATTTCTTTCATCTTGCTGATCTCCTCTTTAAGCTTGTTGCACTGAGACATTAAAAAAGATTAAAACATTTAATGTACAGTATCAGTTTTTAATCCAATATAATTTGGGAGACAGTCAGGTTTCAGATACCTCATATAGCCAATCTAAAAATTGTGGCTTGTCAAACAGAGAAATCCCTGAATACCCCCAATTGCGGAGAGAACACAGTCTTTTTACTCTCTACTTCAGAGTTGCACCCAAAGCAGTCTACCTCTGCTATTTGTGGATCCTAAATGCATGTGGATCCTAAATGCATGTAATTCCAGAATCATTTAAGTATTACTGTTGATCCTAACCATGTGGTGCGCTCACACAAGGGTGTGTGATGTGACAGTGTGTGTGTGTGTGTGTGTGTGTGTGTGGGCGAGCCTGTGAGTGTGACTGTGTGTGGGCGCGCCTGTGAGTGACTGACTGTGTGTGGGCGCGCCTGTGAGTGACTGACTGTGTGTGGGCGCGCCCTGTGAGTGACTGACTGTGTGTGCGCGCGCGCGCCTGTGAGTGACTGACTGTGTGTGCGCGCGCCTGTGAGTGACTGACTGTGTGCGCGCGCGCCTGTGAGTGACTGACTGTGTGGGCGCGCGCCCTGTGAGTGACTGACTGTGTGTGCGCGCGCGCCTGTGAGTGACTGACTGTGTGTGCGCGCGCGCCTGTGAGTGACTGACTGTGTGGCGCGCGCGCCTGTGAGTGACTGACTGTGTGTGCGCGCGCGCCTGTGAGTGACTGACTGTGTGTGTGTGCGCGCGCGCCTGTGAGTGACTGACTGTGTGTGCGCGCGCGCCTGTGAGTGACTGACTGTGTGCGCGCGCGCCTGTGAGTGACTGACTGTGTGCGCGCGCTGTGCGCGAGCCTGTGACTGCGCGAGCGACTGTGCGCGAGCCTGAGTGACTGTCTGTGTGCGCGCGCGCCTATGAGTGACTGTCGCGAGCGACTGTGCGCGCGCGCCTATGAGTGACTGTCGCGAGCGACTGTGCGCGCGCGAGCCTATGAGTGACTGTCGCGAGCGACTGTGCGCGACTGTGACTGTCGCGAGCGCGCGAGCCTGAGTGACTGTCGCGAGCGACTGTGCGCGAGCCTGAGTGACTGTCGCGAGCGACTGTGCGCGAGCCTGAGTGACTGTCGCGAGCGACTGTGCGCGAGCCTGTGTGACTGTCGCGAGCCTGAGTGACTGTCGCGAGCGACTGTGCGCGAGCCTGAGTGACTGTCGCGAGCGACTGTGCTGTGCGCGAGCCTGAGCGACTGTGCGCGAGACCTGCGCGAGCCTGAGTGACTGTCGCGAGCGACTGTGCGCGAGCCTGAGCGACTGTCGCGAGCGACTGTGCTGTGCGCGAGCCTGAGCGACTGTCGCGCGAGCTGACTGTGCGCGCGAGCCTGAGTGAGTGACTGTGCGCGAGCGACCTGAGTGACTGTGTGTGTGTGCGCGAGCCTGAGTGACTGTCGCGAGCGCACCTGAGTGACTGTGTGTGCGCGCGCGCGCGACCTGAGTGACTGTGTGTGTGTGCGCGCGCGCACCTGAGTGACTGTGTGTGCGCGCGCGCACCTGAGTGACTGTGTGTGCGCGCGCGCGCACCTGAGTGACTGTGTGTGCGCGCGCGCACCTGAGTGACTGTGTGTGCGCGCGCGCGCGCGCACCTGAGTGACTGTGTGTGCGCGCGCGCGCACCTGAGTGCGCGCACCTGAGTGACTGTGTGTGCGCGCGCGCGCACCTGAGTGACTGTGTGTGTGCGCGCGCGCGCACCTGAGTGACTGTGTGTGCGCGCGCGCGCACCTGAGTGACTGTGTGTGTGCGCGCGCACCTGAGTGACTGTGTGCGCGCGCGCGCGCGCACCTGAGTGACTGTGTGCGCGCGCGCGCGCACCTGAGTGACTGTGTGTGCGCGCGCGCGCACCTGAGTGACTGTGTGCGCTGCGCGCGCGCACCTGAGTGACTGTGTGTGCGCGCGCGCGCACCTGAGTGACTGTGTGTGCGTGCGTCTGTGGGCGACTGACTGTGTCTGAGTGTCTATAAATCGTGAGACACTTGCGCCAAAACTGCATTACGTTTTAGGTGCCACTGAAAATGACACCTGAACCCACCTTTGGAGATTGCAGGCAGAACACAGCAATTCTGCCGCAATCCCAAAACGCCCAAAAGTGAATGAGGCCTAACGAAGTGGACACTACAGCTTGATTTGGCTGCTCGCACTGAGCACCCAAGTGCTTTCATGTGAACAGTTAACCGGAAAGAATAACGTTTTTTTTTTTTCCCCCTTTCTTCTCTTTGGGGCCGGCGCCCTATTTACTCTCTCAGCAGAGGCACTTCTGCTGAGCATTAAAAAGAGCCCAACGCTCCCTTTTCCTGACGAGCACCCAGTCTATGCTCATTACATTGCAAGGTCTCTGCCCTCCTTGCTAGTCCCTGGGTGCAGTGCTGGAGACAAGCAGGGAGGGGAGGAGGAGATAAACAGTGCAATGTTAAAAACATTCAAAGTTTATATCACCATAAAGCCACTTTTTAAAAGCCCCAGGCATTCCTAAAAGCACCTCCAATTTAAAAAGGTTGGTTAAAATTATTTTTTATATCAGGACATGATGGTCATGAAGGACAAGGAGATTGGAACATTGATTTAATTCCTTGACAAGTAGTTTTTTTAACCACTTGCCGCCCTGCCACTGTAGAAATACGGCGGCAGGGCGGAACGGGCAGGCAAAACCACGTTTTAAAACGTGTGTTTTGTAAACAGATAGGGGGCGCACGCGAGGCGCGCCGCTGCCCTACCTGTCCCGCCGATCACCGCCGCGGATGTTAGTCGCCGGGTCACAGCCGGTCCGTACCGGCTGTTTCCTGGCGGCAAACCGTGACAGACAGCACAGCTGCAGTAGCTGTGCTGTCTGTCACTTCCCTGACAGCTCGAGGACGAGCTGATCGAGAAAGAAGAGTTTCTCTCTCGATCAGCGGTGTCCCGTGCAGCACATACCCCCACCCCCTAGTAAAACACTCCCCCTCACACAGATAACCCTTCCCTGCAAAATAAAGTTAACCCCTTCCTCCCCAGTGCCATTAGTACAGTGTTTTAGTGTTTTTGGGGATGTCAGTGACCCCAAGTCAGTACCCCCCAATGTCAGAATGTCCGCCGCAGTCCCGCCATAAGTCACTGATCGCCGCCATTATTAGTATAAAAAAAACCCCTAAAAATCCCAGTATCTTTCCCGCCATTTGTAAACGCTATAACTTTCACGTAAACTAATTTACACGTTTTTTTTTTTTTTAGCAAAAGACATGTCGCAGAATGCATTTTGGCAGAAATTTGACTAAATTTGATTTTTGCATTTTTTTTTACTGGACATGTTTATAGCAAAAAGTCCAAAATATTGTTTTTTTTTTTTCCTCAAAATTGTCAGCCTTTTTTTTTTTATAGCGCAAAAAATAAAAACTGCACAGGCAAGTCAAATACCACCAAAAGAAAGCTCAATTTGTGGGGGGAAAAAAAAAAAAAAAAAAAAAAAAAAGTGTAAATTTCATGTACCATATTGCATGACCGCGCAATTGTCCGTTAAACTAGCACAGCGCTGTATAGCAGAAAAATGGCGTAAATTGCAGTATTTATACCATAGTTTGTAGACGCCATAACTTCGACACAAAGCAATCAATATACACTCATTGGGATTTTTTTTCTACCAAAAACATAAAATTTAGGCCAAAATGTATTCTGCTACATAACAAACTTTGAGTTTACTATATATTTTTTATAGCTGAAAGTAAAAAATATTATTGTTCTTCAAAATTTTTGGCCTTTTTTTGTTTATAGCGTGAAAAATAAAAAGCGCAGATTATCAAATACCACCGAAAGAAAGCTCTATTTGTGTGAAAAAAAGGACGTAAATTTCGTTTGGGTGCAGCATTGCATGACCGCGCAATTATCAGTTGAATTAGTGCAGCGCAGAGTAGCAAAAAAGAGGCTGGTCATTAAGGGGGGTAAATCCTCTGCAGCTCAAGTGGTTAAAAGAAAATTTCCACACCACTGGTAATGCACAATTTAGGAAAAAATCAGGCGGTTTCAAAACTCATGGCAGACACACGTTTCAAAAGAAGTTCAGATAGAGCAACAAAAATCTGCCAAAGTAAGTGGTACTAACATAACAAGGAAAAGCTGGAAGAACAAATAATCAGGTCAGTAACACGATCGGGTATAAAAAGAAAAGAAGATCTTGCACTCAGTGTCTCAAAAGTAAAGTTTATATTTGGGTTTTTACGTGTCATCTTCGGAACCGGTGTTGTATATTGAATTTCAGCGATCTAATAAATGGAAGGATACGGTGGTGAATTGGGTTTAAAAAGGACCTCAGATAAACAGCAAATCTGTGTGTTGTGATTTTTGTTTTTTATTTCTATTTTGACAGTTTGACATATGCAGGACCCATGCTGTACATTCCTGTGCGGCGTCTTACTCAGTGCGAGGGTTACCATAGTAACTGGTAATTAGGGAGTGCAAAAGCCAGTGGCATGTCACCTAGCTTCAAATCCCCCTGAAGAAGCCAAGCATAGTGGCATAACACGTAATGGGAGGAACCAGTGACTTAGTGAGCAATCACGAGACTTAAGGCAGAAGAGAACATCAATAGAAAATTCATGGTGTACAGTTTCCTCTGGTATTCAAGGGACAGGGCCATGAGAGTCTGCATATCAATTGGCATATGTCCACAAGCTGCAGCCTCTATTATAACATCGCCCGGGGTATTGCAAGGCTAACTGGAAGCTTTATTTCTCTGGTACACAGGGATGTGCATATGATGCGTTTATCTGCATTTTAAAAAATAAAAGATGTTTTTATGGAAAGCACTACGATTGTTTAATTATATTTTGGGCACCAACCTCTGGAATTTTGGAACTACATTTGGGAGTTGATGGAACCATGAGATGACCTTACTGTCTAATAAAGCGGACTGTGTCTCTTAAAAGGACAGGCACAATTTTGACTGAATAGTAGGTCAAAATTATAAGACGAGCTGCTAGCGGTGGAGTGTGTCTCACACTATTTTGTCTAAATGTCCTGGATTATACACATTTTGGGCCATTGTGGTACTTTTGGGACTGTCAATACTATTCCTAGTATAGACTTGATAAGGAATTAAACGTTTGAGGACAAAGAAAATTTAGGCAGTTACTAATTATGTCACCTTTTAAAAAGGGTCTACATGCCCAGACATAACCTTTTAACTAATAGTATATTTGAAGACTTTTTGGGGGGATGGTTGTCCTACTCTCACAACCAGTGGTACATTTATAATTTAGGGTCCCTAATCCCCCCCCCCTTCAGCCACAGATTTTGTTACATTTTTTGTGACACTCTTACAAGGATCAAAGATAGTGTGCCTTCATTTTTAGAATTCTCAAATGCCCCCTAAAAAAAAAAAAAAAAAAAAACACTTTGGACACAAGCCACATACAGTAGGTTTTACTTTTAGTCTTTGCAAAAACACTTAAACCTATTGCCCATGGGAATATATATTCAGTCAATTTGAAACTTTCCCATTTGTACACTGTAAATTGATGACAATATTCACAGCACATTACTTATTTTTTTTTTTTTTTTGAAAGAAGTGACAGTTCACAATAGATAAAAAAAATTAAACCAACCTCATCTTCAGGTAACTGGCTTTTAAATTCTTCCATCTTTGATTCTGTGTCATGAATAATTCCTTCTGCATTATTTACAGCTTCAACAAGCTCCTAGAAGTAAAGACAGTACTTCGTAAATATATCCGCAGTTTCAGCAAACTTGGAACCCTTGTGACACAAGAACACAGTGTTTTCAGATTAAAATGAAAACCCAGAAAATAAAACCTAAAAATGTAAAAACATAGGGTGTTTCCCTACTGAGATCACCTTAGAATTGTACTTAGATGTGTAGCAATGTACTTCAAAAGCACCAGACCAATGGAACGGAACCCTACACAGTGTCTACGCTAATTTACATTGTTATAAAATGGCCTGGCAGGTCTTGTGTTGACACGAGGTCTATACTATGACATTTTATATGTCCGTTGCACCCAGAGGAGGACTGACAACTCATGGGGCCCCCAGGCAATAGGGGATCATGGGGCCCCTGTGTCCTTGCCCAAACTCAAAAAACCTATGAAAAAGGTACCAGGGGCATCTCATGGGGCCCCCTACTGACCCCCGGGCAGTTCCCGAGTTTCCAAATGGTCAGTCCGCCCCTGCTCGCACCTCTCTTGCAGCTGTAGCACCTCATCTCCCTCTACCTTTTCTCAGCAGCTGGCAGCTAAGAGGGGGACAAAACCCACTCTCAGGAGTAGGAGGCTCCTCCCCCTGGCAGCTGCAGAGAGGCTCATCTCTGCAGCCTATCCCCCTTCCTCCCCCTCCATTTCATTTTTTTTTAGCACTGATCACTGTATTAGGGTCACTGACATCCCCAGTGACACCAAGTCAGTTCCCCCCAGTGTCAGAATGCCCACCGCAGTCCCTGATCACCGCCATTATTAGTATTAAAAAAAAAAATTACAGTATCTATAATGCAATTTGTAAAAGCTATGACTTTCACGTAAACAAATTTACACGTATTGAGATTGTTTCTAGCACAGACATGTTGTAAAACACATTTTGCCTAAATTTGACAAATTTTTTTTTTTTTTTTTACAGGACTTGTTTTATAGCAAAAAGTCCAAAATATTGTTTTTTTTTCTCAAAATGATTATTTTTTGTTTATAGCTCAAAAAAAAAAAAAAAATGAAAAAAAAAAATGTAAATTTAATTTCAGTGTAGCGTTGCATGGCCGCACAATTGTCAGTTAGGAAGCAGTTAAAGTAACGTAGTGCCGTAACACAAACCGCTTCTTTGACTGCCCTTATAGCAGAAATACTGCTACAGGGCGGCACGGGTTCGCAAAATCACACACATTTTCTCACACTCACACACACACACGTGATTCACGCTCCCCTTGTTTTCATGCCCCTCCCAGATAGCATCAGATTGCCCATCAGTACACCAGTAATCACATTTAACCCCTTGATTGCCAGGAATATGGTCATGCACAAACCTCCACTGCTAGTATAGTGGCTGAATGGATCAATATCTTTGACCATGTCAGCACTATACCAACGTTCACATTAGTATAGTGTCCCCGAAAACACAGCATTAGCAGGATCAGCCCCACATGGGGAGCAGTGGCTAGTTTGGGACTTGGTGTCATCTTTTCCATATCGGGTACAATTTATACGCGGAAAATTTTTATTCAAGAGTGCCACTATTTAGACATTTGTACAATCTTAGAATTGGTGCTGTGCGACCTAACGTGTGCCCACCATTAGAAATGGGTGAATGCAGGGCGGTATATTCTAATGGTGGGCATACGACACACACTTTTTCTGGCAGAGATTTCTTCTCTTTTTCCATTCAGCCCACAGGCTGCATTGAAAGAAAGAAAAAAAAACACAAAAAAAACCCCCAAAAAACGTATGTATACCCAACAAGTACCAGTGACGTACTGGTACATCACTGGACTTTGAATGGTTATATGCCTACAGCATCATCCTGGTATAGTTTTTTTCAGCTGGTGACTGGCAATCCTAATGGCTAATTAGCTGCAGAATTGCTTTTACAAGCAGCGGTAGATGATGCCCCCCCCAAATGGTACCAATCTCTATAGTCTAAGAAATCGGAAGCAAAATCAGACGAAACGAGCTTCCGGGGGCGGAGCCTAAACATGGCGTCGTCGGAGAGCACGATGTGCGTGCTCTCTGGTAACCTCCGAGCTGACCACCCCGAGAACCCTCATGGTATGGTGTGCGGAGCCCTACCTGAGTGAGGAGGTGTCCAAGGGTGAGAAGCCGGCGCAGTGAATGGAGAGGAGAGCGAGAGTGGGTACAGAGTTCCGGGAGGTGATTCCGTCGCGGAGACCCGAGATCAGCTGTCAGGTTGCCGGGGAGACGGAGCAGTGCGACATGATCACGCAGGTGGCCGCAAAGGAGCACTGGGAAGCAGAGAAGTCGGCCGGTGCCCAGACAGGAGAGGGGAGACGCCGGACCAATCCCTAAACCTGCCACACAGTAGAGCAAAAGCAGGACACATACCCACAGGCGGCCCTGTAGGAATCCCCCTGAGACACAAGCCAGGAGAAACAAGCGGACAGCTGTGGACTTGGGCCGACTCACTTGGAGAGTGAGTGAAGGAGGGTGAGTGAAGAAAACCACAAGATAAAAATGAAAAATAAATGTATAAGTGTCCTGGACTGTGGGAAATGACTTTAAATTGTCTATAAAAGAGAAAAGGGGGATTCCCAGGGGATCTGAAGTGTGGAAAAAGGAAGAAGAGGGAAAGAGAAAGAAAAGGTCAAGTGGCTTTAGAAGAGACTTGGGGAAAAGAAAAGAAGTGTTAAATTGATAGAGATCTGACTAATACCAATACCCCAATATACAGCCTAAAGTTTCCCTCTGGTTAAAGAGAATAACCTGCACAGAAGACATGAAGAATAAAAGCGCTAAAGGAAGCGGGCTTAAAGGGTCCCAGACGGGTACAATTAAAAAAATATACTTCCCAGGGGAATGCGACTCCAGAAAGGTCCTATAGTGGAAATGAAAAAGGGGAAATGGAAACTAGCTTGGAAAAAAAGCCCTAGAATGTCATTGGGCCTGAATAGTAGCAGCCAACAGATGATAGAAAATCCAGAGAGGAAAGATCTTGAAAAAGATTTACAAGTGCCGAATAAAAGAGATGGCCGAAATGTTTAAAAATCTGGAAAAAACTTTAAAGCAAGAAATGACAAACATACGACAGGATCTAGGGCACCTGCTTATGAAAATGGAAGAAATGGAGGGAAAAATTAATAAACATACCCAATTCATTACAGACTTAGAAAAAAGGTCCGCTATGATGGGGAAATACGCAAGAAACAATTGCTGTATATAAAATAGAAGTACAAGAGAACAGGAATAGGAGAAGCAACCTGAGGATAAGAGGAATCCCCAGAAATCCTGAAAGGGGGGGAGAACTGCAAGAAATAGTCTGCAAAATGTTAAACTCCATTATGGATAGACCTGAAACAGAGGTAATTAAATTGGATGGAGTATATAGAACAGGAAAGTTTCACCAGGGAAATGAGAAGCAAAAACCAAGAGATGTGATTGTTCAGCTGCACAAGTATGGAGATAAGGAAGAGAATTTGGAGAAGACTAAAGGAAGAACAACTATTAAGTATGGAGATATAAATATTCCGATTTTTGCGGACTTATCGTATGAGACATTGTGGAGAAGGAGATCCTTGAAACCCCTGTTAGAGCAGATGAGAGAACGGAATGTACAATATAGATGGGGCAACCCAGAGTGTTTAATCGGATGGAAGAAATGGTGTTGCAGCATTTTTGAGATTTCCTGAGGACTTGAGAGACTTCTGAGATAGACTGGAATTGCATAGAATAAGGATTACTGGGTGGGAAAAAGACGGAGAAATAGGTATTGGGGGAAAAGAGGAATGGCAGACAGTTGGCAGGGGAGAGGTAGGGAGGAGAGAGGGGATAACGTTTTTTTTTTTTTTATGCGTATTCCTCTCTCTCTCTCAAACGCACCGTTAAAGTCAAAAGAAATAAATAGAACAAGGGTAATCGGGGATGGTTGGAGGGAGGGAAGGCCGTGCATGGGAGGAGTTCAACCCAAGTTTAAAAAAAATCAAGGTGGACTTATCTCCACAAATTATTAATAGGCAAATTGAAGGCCTAAAAGGGGGGGGGGGGGGGGGGAGGAGGATGGAAGAGGGAGGGGGAAGGGATTAGCGGGAGGGGGGGGGGGGGGGGGGGGGGAGGGGGAAGGGATATGGTTAGAAAGATGAGTGGGTTGGGGGGGGGGTTTTAGGGACAATACTCTGCACGATAGAAGGGGGAAAGAAAGTTGTGATACAAAACGTATGGAAGATTTACGATTTATATAACATATAAAGTAAAGGGATTGAACTGCCCTGGGAAGAGATTTAAATTATTCAAGGAGCTGCAGCATAGAGAGGCTTCGGTGGTTTTTTTGCAGGAGAAACCTTGAGATTAAGTCAAATGTAAAGTTGTACTCGAGAAATTACCCAACATGGTTTATGCAGATTCCCCGATTAAGAGAGCTAAGGGAGTAGCAATAGGGTTTGCAAAAAACATAAGGTTGGAGATTGAAGAGAGAGAAATAGATCCTGAGGGGAGATTTTTATTTTTGAAGGGTAGATTACAAGAACAGAAATGTAAAATTGTGAATATCTATTGCCCAAATAAGAGACCAGAGGTATATCTGAAGGGAGTCTTGAAAAAACTGATGGGCCTTCAAGGAGGGACGTTTTGATAGTGGCAGGGGATTTGAATTTTTGTATGGACCCACAAATGGACACGACCTCTTCTGTGCAGCGAGAGGGAAGTAGAGCTCTGAAAATTTTGAAGGGGGTGATACATGAGTGTCAACTGGTGGATATTTGGGAGAGTGATACATGGAAAAGAGAGAGACTATACCTTCTTCTCTAATGCACACGAGATGTATTCCAGATTGGACTATATATTAGTAGATCATCAACTTATAGAAATGGTGGATAAAAATAGAAATAGAAGCGACATCTCTCTCTAATCATGCCCGTTACATTGAAAGTGAGGTGGGGGAGACGATCGACCGGAGGGATAGGATGGAAGTTGAATGAAGCTCTTCTTCTGGACCAGAAGGTTGATCAGAAAATTAGAGAAGAAATCGAA